ATCAGAATTATTAGAATATAAAAACCATAAAGAAACCAAAACCGCTCCTGTATTGCCAATTATATTTGACTTCAATAACAAAAGTAATGTTATGAAGAAGATTATAAAGAAACATTGGCATATATTAAAACAGGATGAGACTCTGGCTGGAATTGTCCCTGAGAAACCACAAGTTATAATTAGAGGGGCACCCAGCTTTAAGTCTATCCTTACAAGTAATTATACCAACTATAATCATATCCCTTCAACCCCCAGCTCCCCCACCTTTTTAACTAAACCCAGCGTTTTTTTTAAATGTAATAGATGTATAGTGTGTAAAGGCACTAGTGATACTATTAAATCTAAAACTACATCGTTTTTATCCACAAGGACACAAAAAACATATCAAATAAAACATTTTATTCACTGTAATACAAAAAATTTAATTTATCTTTTAGAATGTCCCTGTGGGCTTCAATATGTTGGGATGACCACCGGAGATCTAAAAACCAGATTGGCTGAACATTGTAGAAATATTTTAAAAGGCTACGAAAATCACTCAGTTTCAAAACACTTTTTACAACACAGAAAAAATCTGTAATTTCTTAAATGTATTGGCATAGACACTTGCAATGTCCCATGGAGAGGCGGAGACATCAAAAAAGTTTTAGGTAAAAAAGAAATGGAATGGGCATATAACCTAAAAACTCTTGCTCCCACTGGTCTTAATATTGATTTCGATCTTTTTAACTTTTTGTAATATGTGGCGATTTTTTATAATCAATGATACCTTTTTAATTTTCAATTTTTAATTTTAGATTTTACAACATTATTTTATTTTCCCAACTGTCATTTTAACATATTGCAAAGTGCTTGTATGTATATAGAATTCTACTATTACTACCCTTATGCCTATTGTAATTTTATGCCTTCATCCTTTTTGGATCTCATTTTATCATAATATTCTAATTCTATGCACTCATCCCCTTTTGGATCTTAATTTACTATAAATCTGCAAAACTAGCTATTTTTAAACCTTTTTCTTTTTATTTGTTTGCTTTACACTTAAGACCATTTATAAAAATGTATATGTTTTAAAATCATGCTGTCCCCTACTGGGTTCGAACTTGTGGAGGGCTGGCTGTCTACCTGCTTGTGCAGACAGACGGCAGGTTCATATGATTTAGCTGTGGCTGTCTGCTTGCTTTTGCAGACGGACAGCCTCATCTTTTTTCCCTCCTATCCCCTAGTATGGTCGGACAGTCGGAACGCATGCGTTTCATAGAGCATCACGTGACGCGGAAGTACTTTCTATCGTGCGTCACGTGATCACTCTTTTTACTTAATTTTATACATTTAAAACACTCATTTTATTATTCTAAATCGATGTATAGATTACCTTTCACTATATTACCCTAAATATCACTGTATTAACCATTGATTAAAAATTTTGTTTATTTTAATAATATGTGGATTTTAATGACATCATTTTGGCGGGTATTTGAAACCTATAGCATTACTATCAACTATATAAACTTATGTATGTCAGGTATGCCCCCTCTTTTATTACTCTCTACTTGAAGAAGCCTGTTAAGGGGAAACGCGTTTAGATATTGTTCTTAATTTTAATAATAAAGAAATTTTATTGGCATAAAACACTTTATTGCCATTTTCTTTCTTTTTACCTGATTTCACATATATTGCATATTTTACAAGAAGTGCAAAGAACCCACAGGTGGAGATCATACCACCCAAGTGCTTACACCGAGCAGTTTGAGCCTGCTCTATATTACGTGAGTAGTATACTTTATATTCCTTTATCTTGAATTATATACAGTGAGCACTATATATTTTATTCTCTTCTTCTGGGTCGCACAACATCAACTTGGACGTTGAATTTACGCCAGATATTCAGCCATCAAACCCTACTCCACATATCCTTGAAGTGGGGATCATTCCACTTTACGTGCACAATATCAGAGCTGATTTTGGCTCTGAAAAGTGTGAGTAAGACTGATTTTATTTTTACTATATAATTAATCTACCGATTTACTGTGCCATTGGAGTTTTGTTTTATTTTTTTCTCTACATATGCCGAACTCCTAACATCTAATTGTGAAGACTTGATCCCATCAAACATCCTAAGAATTTTCCTCTACACATGGGACCTACCATTACGGACTGTGATAAGTTTCCTTGGGACTATTGCCTATTATTCATTATACTTATATTTTTAATATTTGATTATTTTTTATATTTATATTTTATTACAATTTCAAGTATATATTGTCTTTTATATATTTTAGGCGCACTCTTATTTCTCTGTTTGTTTCATGTTAAGAGGAAATTTAGCATGAAAATAGCGAATCTTGCAGCCAGCATGTATATCAGAGGCCGGGACCCAAGAACGGTCGGCTGGTCCATAACCTTTCCAATCCACTAAGTACTGCAAAGTGCTCCCAGAAAATCTGGAATCAATTATGGAGGAGACCTCATACTCCTTCTGTCCAGAAACAACCAAGGGAGGCGGAGGAATACTCGGGACAGTATATCTATTGCAAACAAGAGGTTTGAGTAAAGACACATGAGGAGGCTGGAAGGGCCAGAGAGTATGAAACAGGATTGAGCCTATGAAGCATACGAAAAGGCCCAAGGAACCTAGGAGCAAATTTCATGCTAGGGACTTTAAGCATGATGTTGCGCAAAGATAACCAAACCCTCTCACCCACTTGGTAAACAGGGTTGGCACCTCGCCGTTTATCAGCATTATGCTTGAAACGGTCAGCAGCAGTCCCCAGTGCAGAGTGAACTTTGACCCAGGTATCGCAAATGGAAGCAGGATGGTCATCCAAAGCAGGAATAGCCGTGTCAGAAAAAACAGCCGGGAGGACAGTAGGATGCCGGACAGTATTAACAAAAAATTGGCTATGCCCAGAGGAGTCATGGTCAGCATTGTTCCTGGCAAACTCGGCCCATGGTAATAATTCGGACCAATTGTTTTGAGTGCCATTAACAAAACAACGCAAATATAATTCCAAAGACTGGTTAGTCCTCTCAGCCGTACCATTAGTCTGGGAGTGATAAGAGGATGAAAAAGACAACTCAATCCCCAATTGCTAATAAAAGCCCTCCAGAACCGGGATACAAACTGAGAGCCTCTATAAGATACAATATTGTGAGGAATGCCATGCAGACGGACAATCTCACGTATAAAGTCAGTACCAGGTCTTGTGATAACGGCAATTTCTTGAGTGGGACAAAATGAGCCATTTTAGAAAAACGGTCAACAACCATGGGAATAAAACATGTGCAATTCGTTTCGGTCTGAATTAAAATTCAGCCAAATTTCAGGTGCTTCCAAATGTCCGAATAGCTGAACTGCCGAAGTCCCGAAGTCCCGAAATTACCAAATTTCCAAAGCGTAGAAGTGCCGAAGTTGCCGAAGTTCCCGAGGTATCAAAGTGCCGAAATTCCGAAGCACAGTATTGCCTAAGTACTAATATACTTACCCAGTGAAAGAAGAAGAATGTTACATTGTATACAATTTTAAATAAAAAAGTATACAAACATAGCCAGGATTCAGCTGTAAGCATTTGCAACACTTACAACAATCAAGTAACACACATTCATATACAATGAAAGTTACTTAGCCAGCCATGTAATGACAGGAATGAATAAGTAGAAAACTCCCTAATTCCCACGATATTAGGGAGCTATCTACTAAAAGGCTGAAAGACCTGAATTGGTCTCTCAGCCAAATTTACTAATACTAAGTAAAGATTCCTTAGTATTAGTAAATTATGCCCCTACTCGCTATACCATGAGTAGGGGCATGTCTATTAAACAAAAAAAAAAGTGTGAGTGGCGGCTTTTAAACTAAAGGGGGGACCTATTGCCCCACCCGGCCCCCACCCCTGAGCAGCGGGTTGGGGAACTAAAGTAAAAAAAGGGGGGAGGACCTATTGTCCTCCCCACTGGCCCCCACCCCTGAGCGGTTGGTGGCGGCCCTAAATAAAAATTGGGGGGGGGACCTAGTGTCCTCCCCCCTGACCCCCACTGGAGTGGTGGGTGGGGGCCCTAAACAAGAATAAGGGGGGGAACCTAATGTCCTCCCACCTGGCCCCCACCCCTGAGTGGTGTGTGGGGGCCCTAAATACAAATTGGGGGGACCTAATGTCCTCATCCTGGTCCCCACCCCTGAGTGGTGGTGGGGGCCCTAAACTAGAAAAAAGGGGGGGGACCAAATGTCCTCCCCCCTGGCCCCCACCCCTGAGCGGTGGGTGGGGGCCCTAAAATAGAATAAGGGGGGGGACCTAATGTTCTCCCACCTGGCCCCCACCCCTGAGCAGGGAGTGGGGGCCCTAAACTAGAATAAGGGGGGGGGACCTAATGTCCTCCCCCCTGGCCCCCACCCCGAGCGATGGGTGGGGGCCCTAAATACAAATGTAACCCCCCTCCCCCCAGGTGACTAGGGGTCCCCAAACCCCTAGTCACGCCCTCCCCCCAAAAAATGAACCCCTACCTACCCCCCTCACCCTAAAAATAATGAGGGGGGGGACCTTTAACTAAGTACCTGTTAAAATAAACTTATCATTTGATGTTTTCTTTCTTCTAAAAGCTTATTTTTTCAGCCCAAAAAAAGACCAAATAAAAATCCATATTAACTGACGCAATTTAAAAAAAAAAATCTGAGCGCAAAAAAACATAATCCATCTTCACCCGGCGAGGGCTCCGCGCAGACTGAGCTCTGCAGGACGGGGGAAGGCCACAGGCTGCTCACTGTTTAATAGACATGCCCCTACTCGCGAGGGCAAAATTGACTAATACAAAGTAATTTTTACTTAGTATTAGTAAATTTGTCTGAAAGACCAATTTAGGTCTTTCAGCCTTTTGGTAGATAACTCCCTAATCCCGTATGAATTAGGGAGTTATCTACCAAGCGGCTGCAAGAGAAGTCCCGAAATCTCGGAGTTCCGAAGTGTCAAAGTTCCGAAGTGTCTAAATTCCAAAGTGACGAAGTGCCGTAGTGTCAAAGTGCCGAAGTTGCCGAAGTCCCCAATTGAAAAAAGTCCAGAATTTTGGAATGCCGAACCGAGACGAATATTTTCCCCATGCACATGCCTAATGAGAATTGTGGTATAACCATTAGAACTAGGAAGTTCTACAATGAAATCCATAGACAAGTGGGACCATGGGACCTCAGGAATGGGAAGAGGTTGTAACAAGCCACAAGGGAGTTTATGAGGTACTTTGGAAACGGCACAGACAGAACATGCCTGCACATACTCCTTAACATCCTTCCTGATGGAATCCCTCCAGAATAACCTCATGATAGCAGAAGTGGATATATTAATACCTTGGTGACCAGCAGACACATTGTCGTGAAACACCTTCATGATATTACCCCTTTCACCCAATGGAACGAACAATTTGTCCTCAGGTTTACCGCAGGGCGCCTGAGACTGAGCCTCCATGATGGAGCCAAGCAGCGGAGAGGAAAATGAAAGGATAGTGGAAGCAATGATACATTCCAGGGGAATGATATGGGACTTTTCTCGCTCTTGTATAGAAAAGTCCCCCCACGTCTGGATAAGGTGTCAGCCTTGACATTTTTAGAACCAGGTCTATAAGTAATAAGAAAATTAAAGCGAGAAAGGAACAGAGACCACCTAGCTTGTCTAGAAGACAATCGTTTAGCATCTCCTATGTAAGCCAGGTTTTTGTGATCAGTAATGATCAAAAGGGGGTCCTTGGAACCCTCTCAAAGATGTCGCCACTCCTTGAGAGCTAGAATAATGGCCAACAATTCCCTATTGCCAATATCATAATTGCACTCGGCAGGTGATAACTTTCTAGAGAAGTAACCACAAGGATGCTGGGAGAGAACCGCCCCTACCCCTGTCTCTGATGCATCAACTTCCAGTATGAAAGGTTTACTGGTATCAGGATGTATCAATATGTTGGCGGAGGCAAACCGCTGTTTGAGAGTTTCAAAGGCTTCTATAGCCTCCTTAGACCATATCGTACTGCTAACCCCCTTGCGTGTCATATTGGTGATGGGGGCTATTACTGAAGAAAATCCTTTTATAAACCTTCTGTAATAATTGGCAAAACCAATGAACCTTTGAATGGCTTTCAACCCAGTGGGTAAAGGCAATTGTAGAACCGATTCCAGCTTTTTAGGATCAATCTGAAACCTCGAGGCAGAGATATTATATCCCAAAAACTGTACTTCAGATTGGTCAAAGATGCATTTTTCTAATTTACAATAAAGTTGATACTTTAACAGTCTACAGAACTTGTCTAACGTGATCGTGGGGAGTCTGAATGTCAGGATAATAAATAAGGATATCATCCAGATAGACCAAGACAAACGAGTAAATGTAATCCCTGAGTACATAATTTATGAAATCTTGGAAAACCGCTGGAGCATTGCACAACCCGAATGGCATCACTAGATATTCATAGTGTCCACTTCTGGTATTAAATGCAGTCTTTCACTTGTGGTTTTCCTTGATTCTCACTAGATTGTAAGCACTTCTAAGATCAAGCTTAGTAAATACTTCTGCGCCTTGGAGTCTATCAAATAATTCAGCAATAAGAGGAATGGGGTAGGCGTTCTTTTGCTGAATACTTCTTTAATGTCTTGGTACTGTATAGGGATTTCCGGGTTTTGAGGTGTACTAGTGGGTAATCATAGTGTCCACTCTTTTGGCAACATTCAATATACATCTTTCATAACAATCCTTACCCCATTCTAATATTTCCCCATTAGCCCACTCAATATGAGGGTTATGCTTGTTAAGCCATGGTTAAGCCTAATATGATCGGACAGGAAAGGGATGCAATAACCTGAAATGTAATCTCCTCCTTATGTAAGGCAACAATGGACAAATTAATGGGTTTTGTGTAATCAATGGTTGTGAGAGTGGTCTCCCACCAATAGCTTCAACAGCTAGGGGTGATAGTCTCTCCTGAATAGGTATAATATTACCTTTAACAAATTGAACGTCGATGACGTTTCCAGCGGCACCTGAATCCATCAGGGCTTTGCATGAAAAGTTCTTATTTTCAAAGGCAATAGAAATATCAAGGAGAAACCTATTTTTATCCATTCCAGAGGACCTTTCCATTACACCTAAGACCTGTCCCCTTAAGGTGCGGTAGTTTTCCGGATGTATGGGACAATTGTTTCTCATATGTCCTTTTCTACCGCAGGCCGCCTTTTCTCCTATATTGTCTTTCTGCTTCCTACAGTTTAGTGACCCCCAACTGCATGGGTTCGCGTTCGAACTGTACAGGAAATTCAGGGACAATAGGTTTGAAGAAGTGGGGTGCTAAAGGCAAATTCATGTGGCTGGTCTTATTTCTAGAAGCTTCTCTGGTTCTCAATCTATTATCAATTTGCATGACAAAAGTGATAAATCCATTAAGCTTTTTGGATAAGTCTTTGGCGGCAATCTCATCTAGCATAGTTTCAGATAGTCCCTTTTTAAATGCAGAGATTAACCCACTATTAGTCCAGTCTACCTCGGAAGCTAGGGTACGAAATTCTACGGCATACTCAGAGATAGACCGGTTCCCTTGTCTGATATGCATCAGGACAGTAGAGGCGTCTTCCTTCCTGCCTAATGGTTCAAACGTAAGTTTAAATTCCGTAATAAACTCCTGGTAATTGTGGGCCACACTCTTATTTCTCTCCCATAATGGATTGGCCCAAGCTAAAGCTTTACCTTTTAATTGGTTCATCAGGTAACCAATTTTAGCTCTGTCTGTCGGAAAAGATTCCGGTGAGGCCTCAAAATAATACTCTACTTGGTTATGGAAACCCCAGCATTCTTGGAAATTACCATCAAAATGCAGAGGAGGAGATAGAGATATAGTGGGTGCCTTGTGTACTATAGGTGGAGGTACATAAGGTGGAGGTGAGACAGTAGGAGAGGCTGCAGGTTGCAGATGCGCTGTTCGGGTAAGAAGCATACTGAAGACCTGGGCAAATTCATGCGGTGATCATTCTCCTCTAGTTTCCTTTCGCAAGCAGCTATGTGCTTACACAATTCTACAGGATCAATGGCCATGTCGTAATGTCAGGATTACAGTATGATCCAGCACGTAGAACTGTGTAACATAGGAGACTAAAAGGTAAGTATACCGGGCCTTAGAATGGCCGGACTCACGTACCAAAGTATAGTCAGGAATAGCCGAGGTCAGGTGACACAGAAAGGGTCACAGCGATAAAGGAATACCAGAAAACAGGGAAGTCAATATCAATGCCAAAGTCAAATAACCAGAATAAGGAATGCGCTCTCGGACAACCAGTAGGGAAACCACGACAGGGCAATGAGGGAAAGTATTTTTAGGTTTAAATACCTGCTTTACTATTCTGATTGGCTGAAATTGGTCTTTGACCCCAAAAGGTGCGCGCGCGGCGCGTGAGTGACATCACATGCACGCCGACATCGTCAATCACGTGAGCGGACGTGGGGGTATATTTTGCCGTGGATCTGCAGCGGCCGACGTCCATTAACATGCCGCAAGTGTCAGTCATGCATACGCACGAAGAGGTGAGGAAGAATATGTTACACATCGGTTATTTATCTACCCTGCTTTTTTTTTGACAATTTTTATTGTTTTTGTCATTTTTTAGACATATGGAACTTTGGGGGTACAGAAAGAAAAGAAGGGGGGAAGGAAAAAAAAAAAAGTAAGTCATACATTCCACAATACACAGTTTGTTGATTGTCTAACACGCATGTGATTCGCCACTCGGCGTCTGCTCTTCAAGGGTACGTTATAGAGAATAGTTAGGTCTGTGCAGGTGATTTTAACCCTTCATCATTCGGGTTACCAATGTGTCTCATTTACCTCATGCCTATGGTGTATCTGCCTGCTGTGACTCTCTAGCCGTGGGTTTCCCCATTGTTCCTTTGTGGCCTGATTCCTTTGTGTGCTTGGGTGTTCATTTTGCAACATCTGTTGGGTTTCCCTCGTGTGGCCCCCTATCTCAACCCCTGGTTCACCTCCTTGAAGCTGTTGCTCTTTTTCTCGCCTCACCGTGTGCCCTTGTCTGTGTATGCCCTCCATCTCTCTCCCACTTGACCTGTTTGTTCCAGTGGTCTTATGTGTTTATTTGGCATCATCTCGTACTTCCAGTTTGTGGAGATTTGTTTCGTTAGAGCTTCTCTTGTTGGTACTTGAGTCAATTTCCACGCTCTGGCTAGGAGTGTTACTGCTGGAATATCAGGCATGCGTCTGTTTTGGTCAGTGTATGTGGTATCATGAATAATATGCTCTGTTCTATGGTCAATGGCCACGGTCTATCTAGTAGGTCTGTTGCTATGTCCCTCACCATTTTCCAGTAGATCTTGAGCTGTGCACAGGACCACCACATGTGTTCCATGGACCCCCCGACCTCCCCGCATCTCCAGCACACATTAGGGTGGTTCGGATATAACCTGCCCAGTTTCTCTGGCACCATGTACCACCTATATTGCAGCTTTCTAATCGTTTCGAGATGTGTCGTGCATTGTGTATAACCTTTGTGTATTGTGAATGCCCTGCGCCATTGGTCTTAGTCTATTACATACCCCAGTTATTTGTGCCATGCTGATTGGAATGCCATATCTGCTTCTGTCTTATCGTCTATAAGTGTGTTGTATATGGTTGAGAGTGTTTTTCTGGGGGTCTTGTCTGATAGGCATAGTTGTTCTATTGGGATAAAAAGTTCTGGTACACCTATTGTGTGCACAGAGGAGAGGGAATTCAACTGGCACTAAGTCGCTCAGACTGGAAATAATAGGGATTCACAAAAACCTATAACTAATAACAAGAAGAGCACTCTAGGGGATAGTGCATGGATACCAGGAGCGGACTTGTGAAAATTGTTCTATTGTTTGCTCTTGTAGTGCTGACCTACTTTGTAGTTTTACTCCTGTAAGCAGTGATTTTAGTTGCATGTGTTGGAACATAGCTCTGGTGGGGATGCCATACCGAGTTTGTAATTCCGGGAAAGGCATCAGCTTATTTGCCTGATATAGATGTTTGATTTTGGTACACCCCGCTGTCGCCCACTTTTTGGAGTCAAATGTCGGGATCACTATTGCTAGGCATGATATTGGGGCATCTCCATCTATGTCTTCCCCTCCCCCTCCTTTCGTTTGGAGGTCATCCCAGGTTCTGAGTGTCTGTTGTGTGGTCTGTAGGGGCTTCGTGGTTCGGGGTCGGAGCTGCTGTGGGATCCAAAATAATTCCCAG